GAACCACAACTGGGACACACAACATCTAACCTCACCTCCTGCACCCATCACAACACGATGCACACCTCCCCCTCACAAGGTCGTCTGCTTACCTCTCTGTCTGCGTCCTCAACCAGAAGTGTGACGATACCACCTCTAACTTTTCACTTTGTCTGACGACGGGTTGGTGCAACCAGCTCGAAAATTCACGAGTAAAACTCTATTTCCGACGTACTTCCTACTTTCATATATATATATATATATATATTGAAGAAGATGGTAAGGCGATCTCTGGGGATGATTATCTATTCATCTGACGTTTCCCACTCATACTCGAGCGTTTCATCGGAGATAGGAAATATGATAAAATTACACGGTTTATATAGGTCCGTCCCGCTCGCGCCTAATAGGGCCATTAATTTCTATCCTGATTTGGCCTCCCCTTGTGCGTAGGTTGTGTTTGGCGGCCTCGTATGGGGCCGATAGGTCGACGCATCGGTTGATGGAGTTGTCGTTTTTTTGCTTGGCCTCGATTATTTCTCGCGCCAGTCTGTTTTTTGCTCGGCCGAGCACTTGGGCGCCGTCAAAGTCAAACCGATGGTTATTTTCCAGATCTACGCACCAGGGGAGGCCCAATCAGGATAGAAATTGATGGCCCTATCAGGCGCGAGCAGGACGGACCTATTTAAACCGTGTAATTTTCTCATATTTCCTATCTCCGATGATGCGCTCGAGTATGAGTGTGAAACGTCAGATGAATAAATCATCATCCCAAGAGCTCGCCTTACCATCTTCAATTTCAACACCTGGGGTCAGCATTTTCGCCTACATCCATATACGTCGGGAGTACGGTATAATACCTTTACCATATGGAATTCATACTACTCGTAGTACTACTTGTTTGTAGAATGGGCATTACGTGGTTATTCCACAGTAGTTGATTGTCTTCGACTCAAATGTTCATTGAAATTTCGGTTCTGACCCTAAAAAGTCATGTCCCGGAGATTTAACTCCAAGTTCTGCACTGATTAATTTCTGAAATTATTCACCTGATTATTCTCTGGAGTTCGGTATAATACGGTATAATACCTTTACAATATATATATATATATAATTTGAAATCAAATACGATCTTTGGGAAAGAGAGAAAAATTTTTTTGAGTAAATGTTCGATGTCAGTTCCCCGTGTCGTCGTTAGAATAGGGTAAATGTGCAGAAAACAGTAAAAATTTCACAGGTGCTAAACCTTTGTATTTGAATACACTATGGTCCATGAATTCGCCCTCTCTTCTTCTTCGTCTTCTTCGGGAGATGATGAACACGTTACAATGTCTGGACCTCGAATCTTTACGCATGTCGATGTATACTATGGGCGCACAGCCCTCCGCTCAGCACGAAGTTGGGAGACCTTAGCGAAGCGAGAGTCCTTCACCTACAGTAGATGTGCTAACGCATGAAATGTCAACCAAAGTTTCGAAATGCGTTCTCGTTTCGAAAAGATAAATTAAGTAGTGTTGTAAAACTTATCATGATGCAGCATAAATTTATAATGATCCAGTTACCTCAGGGTGTCTGCCTTCGAAAGAACTTATTTTCGGCTGCATGCAAGATCTGTACTCTGCAAAAAATGACTACTTAAGTAGTATTCAATTTTCTCATTGATTTTCGATGCCCTTGGAAATTCAATTTTATTTCATGGAAAACATGCATAAAAATATTCATTCTTTTATTTATTCGGTAGAAAATCACGTCTTCTTCCAATTTCATACTCAAAAGAAGAGCATAATTTGGTTTTAAAAACGTTTCTAATTGTGAGATTTTTTAATACCGTTAAATGGCCGTTCATGAAACGTCATGTTTCTGCACTTACGAATGTGGCTTGTAAAGTTAACAATATTTCTCGACCGGAGGCCACCATCCACCGCTTAATCATGCAGCCTAAGCATCGGTTACCACCTGCAGACACGTTAGGCGTCATTTACCGCGTCAAATGTCTGGACTGTCTGGCCAACTACTGTGGCATGACCGACAATCGCCTAAGAACGCGCATGCATAAGCACTATTTGGCCGTATGGCGAAAGGACGTACGATCGTATGTCGCCATGCACTGTCTGGAAAATGCAGTTACAACACAGAAGACGCACAGCCGGTGGACTTCATCGCTGCACTAGAAGCGACACTCTCAAAAACGGATACCAGGGAAGTCTCAAGGAACGCGATTCGCCAACGAGTCGCGTCCCTCATCATATCCCACAAACCTCGCAGAACCATCCCCTCGGCAGAGGTAAAGGCCATCAGGGAACTAAAGAAGGACGAAGAAATTGTCATTGTTCCAGCACACAAATGGCGGGCGACCGTAGTGCTAGGCAAGTCGGAGTACGTTGCAAAAGCGCAGCAGCTACTAAATGACAACCAATCGTATAAAATCATCGATTCCGACTTCATTAAAGCACTGGTAGGCAAAATCAACAAGAGCGTGAACCTGATGAGGAAAGAAAATGCCATATCCGAAAAGGATTGGAGAAAAATGAAACCACAAGATGCTGCCTTAGCGCGCTTTTATGGTTCGCCAAAAATCCACATGCCAAATTTTCCCCTACGGCCCATTGTGGCGATGGAAGGTGCGCCTACATACGGACTGGCTAACTGGCTTGCCAAGCATTTGAAGAACTTGACGGACGGCCCATAACACACAGCCGTATCTTTAACACACTTTCTGGAAAAATTCAAGGGAGTTATAATAGCCTCGACCAGGTAATTGTATCCTTTGACGTTGCCTATCTATTCACCTCCATCCCAAAAGAATTGGTCATGAAAGTCATTAATGACCTACTGGATAAAGAACAACGAAGAGGGGAACCCGTTTATGAGGAAGCACCTGATGGAATTATTAGACTACTGCCTACGCGCGTACTTCACTTTTAATGGTCAAATTTACGACCAAATCCAGGGAACCCCAATGGGATCCCGATTTCCGACTATCTGGCTGAGGTGGTTATGCAGGAACTAGAAGCTCGAGACTTTCAGTCCTACAAGTCGAGGTTCTGGATGCGCTACGGAGACGACACCTTTGTCATCTTACGCCGAGACGCAAATGACAACTTTAAAAGGGAGTTGGACTCGATCTTCCCACAAATTCAATTTACCATGAAGGAAGAAAATAACGGAGTGCCCCCTTTCCTCGACGTTCAGGTAACGAGGCAAGAAGACGGAACCCTCCAGACTGGTGTCTTTCGAAATGCGACAAACACAGAGAAAATTCTCTGCTACAAAAGCAACCACTCCCTGTCGCATAAACGCAGCTGCGTCCGGGCGCTTTTTCACCGCATCAACACACACTGCAGCCCAGAATCCGAGAAGCTGCGGAATCGTGAAACCCTATGGCACCTCTTCCTTGCCAATGGATATCCACCCAATTATGTGAACAAATGCTTATACCAAAGACATACGAGTGCCGACCGTGAGAATACGCAAAGACCTGAAATCTTTCGCGTGCTGCCTTACGGGAGAAACGTCTCCGAAGCCACTGAGCGCCTGCTAAGGCCCCTAAGCGTGGGTGTTGGACACCGACCGGAGACCACCATCCACCGCTTACTCATGCAACCCAAGGGCCGGCTACCACCTGCAGACACGTCAGGCGTCATTTACCGCGGCAAATGTCTAGACAGTCTGGCCAACTACTGCGGCATGACGGACACACGACTGCGCACACGCGTGCATGAGCACCCCTCAGCGATTCGAATCGGTCTTCATGCGGCTCCTTTTGCATGGGTGACTCGAGCCTGAGACTACACTGAAGCGTCAAGCGTCGTCGATTGGAAGGCTGCTGGTTGACGTCCCAACTTACTGCATGCAGTCCATCCAGTTGTATGTGTACGTATAATGGCGGACTGATGGACTGAGAGTTGGGCTGAATCAGCTCATTTGTTTATTTTCCTGAGCTTTCATACTCGTCAATCGTCAGAGGTAGTAGCAGCAGCAGAACAAGCAACAGTTTTAAGGCATGTAGACCAATCATCGACCGACGGCAGAAGACTGGAGGTGACTACGCAGGGCACTGTACGCCTGCGCTAGATCGATAAATCAATTGACCGAGTTCTAATCCGAGGCCCAGGCTTCAATTTATTCTCAACCTGTTTTGTTTCCGGCGTGGGCGACTTTTCCAGTGACTTCGAAGTTAAACTCGTGACCCATTTCGTAGGTGTGTGCAGTTCCCTCTACGGCACTCCCACGCATGTGAGAGATACGTTGCCCTACCCTCGTTGTGTGAACTTGCGGTGTTTGTGTTTGGGTGACCAGGTCGTTCACGTTGTGGGCGCAGACACGGTCACTAGACCATGTCATTCACCGGGACCATTCATCGCACCTGTCAAATGACCGCGTCGGACGGTGCATGGGGCTTGAGAATGGAAAGGGAGAGTGAGGTCGACGACTCAGTGCATTCGTCTCGCTACAAACAATCTGACATGCTGTCAAGGTACGCTAAAAGCCGTGGCTTGGAAGGCTGACAGTTAAAGAGTTGACTTGGACCACTCAGTCGGGATCCGAGCTGGCGTGGAAGGCAGTCCTAGATGCGGCTTCGGCCATGCCAGCCTCCATTGTTCGTGCTGTAGTTGGTCAAAATCCTGGTCATATGCTGTGCGGACCAGGGGGTGAGGAGTGGAGCACTAAAATCGTGCCATCCACCTGCGCCCTCCTACGTCTCCGCATCCAAGACCATCAACTGGCAGTTAAGAGGTGAGAACACTTGTCTCAAATCGTCATGCGCGCTCTTGATTCTGGACACACTTTCACATGGGACAAAGCCTGCTTCATCGGAGTCTGCCCACATAAAAAGGCCGACATTTTCTTGAAGCCATACACTCCGATGAGTCATGCATCAACGGGCATATCGAGTTAGATACCACGTACAAAAATCACAGGGAAAAAAATGAAGACGAATACCGATCAATCGAGAATGACGCACAAGACGGACGCTTACTGGCTAAAGAACCAAATGTTTATTGGTTTTGGAGAACGTTTGAAATGTTAATGGATTTTTGCACATTTACTTGAAACAAAACACGGATTGTCGGTGTCTGTCCTTTCAAGAAAGAGCGAGAGTTCCCTTGGGCCATGCACTCGGATGAATCGTGCATCAACCGTCATATAGTGTTGGAGGCTGCTGAAAATGTCTAAAGGAGAAATGGAAGAGACGAGAGACAAACGGAGTAGAATGACGCAGAATGCGGCCGCTCACGGGCGTAAACACCAATGATAATCGATTTTTCGAGTGCAATGCCAGATGTTAACTGTAGTCGGCCTATTTACTCCCCGTTTGCGTCTGAAGACGACCTGGGAAACCGGCGTCGAACATTTACCAAAAAAAGTTCTTTGTCGGTAATATCATTCTGCCTATATATCATGCGCCGCTGCGTGGCTGCTGGTTGGTCTCGAGAGAGAGCCCTTAAGGCACAACGGGACGAGTGAGTTCCGTATGAAAGATCGGTGAGCCCCCCTAACATTGTATATTCCCGATCGAAAACCGACAAGGCAACGGGCTCGTGGCCGGGGGAGTAGAGTCGCTGTCTACTAAATCAACAGGTCGCGAGTTCGAGGCTCGGGTGTTCCACACTTCGGGCTTGGGTATGGCTGGCCGACGACGGCTAATAAGCCAGAAATGGCCATTCCGGTCTCCCTTGTCTTTGTCGGTAATATCATTCTGCCTATATATATAAATATATCCCGAAGAAGACGAAGAAGAAGAGATGGCGAATTCATGGACCATATTGTATTAGAACTGACATTTCGGATAGTTCCTCGTAATTAATGTACTTGCCGGTCATGACTTGTTCAATCTTGCCGCTTGCCTCGTATTAAAGCCGTGCTCGACGTACGAAATTTGACCTGCCTGTTTACTGCTGACTAGCGTAGACCTCCCCGGGGCTGACCGCTGACAGGCCTGCGTGACCTTTGTTCCCTTTGGGGACGGCGTAATTGTGGTCAAATCAACGTGCCTCTTGGCCTCCTCCACGTCAGCCGGTGGACTGATCGGTCGTTGCTGTTCAGGTGAGCAGCATTCGGCTTCGCGGGCGCATCGGTGAGACAATGTTCGGCTTCGGTCACATGACCTCTTTTCCCAATTCCGCTCTTTTCCGTGAGCGTTGACTCTCGGTCCCGCGTGCTCGCTTGCCTTACTGGTCCTGTCCGGACTGATCCGAGCCTCGTACGAAGCGCCTGGTAGGCGGGATGTAGATCTATAGCTCGATTGACTGTACCAGTTGAGGACTAACTTTCGAGCACCATTCTGGCCATCTTCTCATTGGCTCTACCAATTACCAATTTCCCGACATTCAGTTTACTATGGAAGAGGAAGTCAACAATCAGTTGCCCTTCCTGGACGTACAAGTTACGAGATTGTCAGACGGGAAGATAAGGACAACGGTTTACCGTAAGGCAACAAATACCAGGCGCATCCTCCACATCCGAAGCAACCACCCTGTTGGTCATAAACGCAGTTTTGTCAGAACTCTCTTTCAACGTGTTCAAACACACTGTATCAACGACAGTGGGAGGAAGGAGGAGATGAGTTACTTACAGGCCCTTTATAAGCCAACGGCTACCCGAAGTCCCTCATACGCAATTGCCTCAAACAGCCTCATTTTGAGCTGTCGAGTGGAGAAAAGCCCAAGTTCTGGCTCTCAATACCCTATGTGAAGAACGTATCAGAGGCAACGGCAATAATCCTGAAACCTTTTAAGATTGGCGTGGCTCATAATCCAGAATGCACCATCATACAGCAAATCATGAAGCCCAAAGACCCGCTACCAAAAACAGAACAGTCGGCGGTGGTCTACAGCATACCATGCCTAAATTGCAATGCAAGGTATGTTGGTGAAACGGGCAAACGCCTCGGCACAAGATTTCACGAACACCAACTTGCAATCAATCGCATGGACAAGCTGTCTTTGGTCTATGGCCACATACGAGAACTGAACTACGATTTTGTCTTTAAGAAAGTGAGGGTAATTGGTAGAGCCAATGAGAAGATGGCCAGAATGGTGCTCGAAAGTTAGTCCTCGACTGGTACAGTCAATCGAGCTATAGATCTACATCCCGCCTACCAGGCGCTTCGTACGAGGCTCGGATCAGTCCGGACAGGACCAGTAAGGCAAGCGAGCACGCGGGACCGAGAGTCAACGCTCACGGAAAAGAGCGGAATTGGGAAAAGAGGTCATGTGACCGAAGCCGAACATTGTCTCACCGATGCGCCCGCGAAGCCGAATGCTGCTCACCTGAACAGCAACGACCGATCAGTCCACCGGCTGACGTGGAGGAGGCCAAGAGGCACGTTGATTTGACCACAATTACGCCGTCCCCAAAGGGAACAAAGGTCACGCAGGCCTGTCAGCGGTCAGCCCCGGGGAGGTCTACGCTAGTCAGCAGTAAACAGGCAGGTCAAATTTCGTACGTCGAGCACGGCTTTAATACGAGGCAAGCGGCAAGACTGAACAATGCAAGACCGCAAAGTGCGATAATTACGCTATTCTGATGATGAAAACGAGGAAGTTTCCGAAACGTCAGTTCGAAAACAACATGGTCCATGAATTTGCCCTCTCTTCTTCTTCGTCTTCTTCGGGAGATGATAAACGCGATATATATATATATATATATATATATATATATTAGATGGAGCCGACAAAGACAAGTGAGACCGGACTGGCCATTTGTGGCATATTAGCTGTCATCAGCCAGTCATACACAACTTCAAGTGTGGATCACTTGAGATTCGAACCCGGGATATTTGGTCATGTATTTTCAGCTCTACCATTGAGCCACGGGTCCGCTGTCATGTCGGTTGTGATCGGCAATATCAATTATGACAGTGGGCGCCCGCCGACCAGGTGTCGGTTCGTGCTCGTTCCGTTGTGCCTTGGGGCTCATACCAGGACCATCGCAGGCAGTCGCTCAGCGACTAGTAGTAGACAGAGTTGAGATGGAGCCGACAAATTCAAGGGAGAGCCTGTTCCGTAACCTGATCGGCGAGCGTCCACTGTCATAATTGATATTCCCGATCACAACCGACAGGACAACGGGCCCGTGACTCAATGGTGGAGCTCAAACTCCATGACCAAAGATCCCGGTTTCGAATCTCAAGTGATCCACACTTGGGGTTGTGTGTGACTGGCTGATGACGGCTAATAAGCCAGAAATGGCTATTCCGGTCTCCCTTGTCTTTGTCGGCTCCATCTCATCTATGTCTACTACTAGTCGCTGTGCGACTGCCTGCGAGGGTCCTATTATGAGCCCCAAGCCACAACGGAACGAGCAAGTTCCGTAATCTGGTCGGCGAGCGCCCACTGTCACAATATACATATATATATATATATATATATATATATATATATTCACGCAGGAATGGGCGCACACATATCCATTGGCTTCCCGATGCAAACAAGCCTCCTATGGACGATAGGGGCACGAACAGGCAACCACCTACCAGGCCGAAGTTGGCCAAGCTATGTTCGTGATCCCTATCGCCCATGCGAAGCTTGTTTGCTTCGGGAAGCCAATGGATCGGTGTGCGCCCATTCCTGAGTGAATAAATACCCGATCTGCAGCGACAGAGAATGGCAGGTAGCGAGGCACTGATGAACTTCGGTTCGATGAACTGCCTATGACCCATCTGGTAGACAACAGTGGTGGACCAGATGCGCCAGGTGTGTCTGAGCGCATGTTTGTGATTCCGGTACCAGCTGGTGTTCAGCGTTATGATTGGCTGAATGAAAGCAAAAGAGCGCGAAACA